GGCCGAGCCAATCGCAGGGAGCAGCTGGGACGGAGCACAGGGGGCTCAGGTTACACAGCCCTTAACCCCCACACAGTGGTGGCAGGTGGAAACTGCAGCCAGATATTTCCAGGATGAAGAAAAACAAAGCGAATACAGAAACCACAATGCAAAGGTACATGAAATCACCAGACCAGAAGGAAAATGACAAGCACCTAGAAACCAACCCTGAAGGCACAGAAATCCATAACCTAAATGACAGAGATTTCAAAATAGCTGTCATAAAAAAACTCAATGACATACAAGATAACACAGACAAACAATTCAGTGAGATAAGGAGTTTCTTCACAAAAGAGATTGAAATCATAAAGAAAAACCAGTCAGTACTGATGGAGATATGAAAAACACAATGGAGGAGATAAAAGAGAATCTGGAATCTTTAAAGAACAGAGCTGACAATAGGGAGGAAAAAATTAGCATTATAGAGGATAGGAATACAGGTATGCTCCAGATGGAGGAGGAGAGAGAACTAAGACTAAAAAGAAAGGAGGAAGGTCTCTGAGAAATATCTGACTCTATTAGGAAAGGTAACATAAGAATTATAGGTATTCCTGAGGGAGAAGAGAGAGAAAGAGGAACAGAGAGCTTATTCAAGGAAATAATAGCTGAGGACTTCCAAAATCTGGGGAAGGAGCAGGAAAAACCAGTAAGTGAAGCTAGTAGGTCGCCTAAATACGTCAACAGGCAAAGGCCCACTCCACAGCATATAGTGGTAAGGCTGGCTAAAGTCAATGACAAAGAAACAATATTAAGGGCAGAGAAGCAATATTAACGGCAGCTAGACAAAACCAAAAAATAACGTACAGGGCCGGCCCGGGGGTGCAAGCAGTTAAGTGAGCGCGCTCTGCTGCGGCGGCCCAGGGTTCCCTGGTTCAGATCCTGGGTGCGCACCGACGCACTGCTTGGCAAGCCATGCTGTGGCAGCATCCCATATAAAGTGGAGGAAGATGGGCACGGATGTCAGCCCAGGGCCAGTCTTCCTCACCAAAAAAAGAAGAGGATTGTCAGATGTTAGCACAGGGCTGATCTTCCTCACCAAAAAAAAAAAAATAATAACGTACAAAGGAACTCCCATCAGACTTTCAGTGGATTTCTCAACAGAAACTTTACAGGGTAGGAGAGACTGGAATGATATATTCAAAATACTGAAAGACAAAAACTTTCAGCCAAGAATACTCTCTCTGCAAAAATATCCTTCAAATATGATGGAGAAATAGTAACTTTCCCAGATAAACAAAAGCTAAGGGAGTTCATGGCCACGAGACCTCCACTACAAGAAATACTCAAGAAGGCCCTCAGGCCTGAAAAAAAGAAGAGAAAGGGAATACAAAGCTTAAAGCAAGGAGAAAAATAGGTAGACAAAATCAGAAAAATAGTAGATCTTTACCAGAATAGGTTAGCAACCACTTAAATACCAAAATCAAAGAGCAAAGGAAGGAAATCACCAAAAATAAATATAACCTCATCACTGTAAACACACACCCACAACACAAGATAGAATAAGTTGTAACAGGAATGACTTAGAAGGGGAAGAGGAAAGTGATTGAATTGACTTAGTATAAGGAAATAAGAGGCCATCAGATAATGGACTATCTCATACACAAGATTTTTTGCCCAAACCTCAAGGTAACCACTAAACAAATAATCAAG